CCCCATCTCCCATTCCTCAGCCCCTCCACGTCCCATTCCTTAGGGTCCCCATCTCCCATTCCTCAGCCCCTCCACGTCCCATTCCTTAGAGTCCCCATCTCCTATTCCTTAGCTCCTCCACATCCCATTCCTTAGGGTCCCCATCTCCCATTCCTTAGGGCCCCTCCTGGCCCACGCGGAGCCCCGAGGGGGGAGTGGGCCATGCCCGGCACCTCTCACCAGAAGAACGTGTTGGTGCCGTCGTCGTACACCTCGGACTCGGTGCTGCGGCGGGGCCCGGCGCCGTCCCGCTCGGCCCCGGGGGCGCCGCCGTTGGGTTGCGCGGGGGGCGGCGGCGGCGGCGGCGCCGGCTGCTGCTGCTCCTCCAGCGCGGCCTTGCCCACGTTCCCGCCGTGCGCCCGCCGCTCGCCGCGCCTCATGGCGGCGGGTGGGGACCGGCGGCGGGGACGCACCGGGGGTGGGCAGGGGACGCCCCGGGGGACACGGGCCGGGGCCGCGGGGCGGGAGGCGTGACGCGGCGTGCGCGCGACCCCTCTTCTGCGCGTGCGCGGGGCGGGGCCCGGGGAAGGCGGGGCCGGGCGTCCCCGCCCCCCTCCGTTGCCGTGGCAACCGCGTGGCCTCCCCCCCACCCCACCACCCCAACCCCGGCCGTGCGACCGCTAGGCGGCGCCCTGAGGAGCCGGCGGCGCCCCTCACGGAGGGGACCACGAGCCCCTCAGGGCAGCCAAAGCGCGCTAATTAAACACAACGTCTTAACTCTGCGCCCTCCCACTGCAACTGTGCTAATTAAACAAAATGTCTTCATTCTGCACACTCTCACCGGAACTGTGCGGGGAAATGTGTCCTTTGCCAAGCTGCCGTGAGGCTCTCGTGTACCCCCGCGCTGGGCACCCCATGCCTGACGCCATGGCTGTCCCGATTGCCGCGTCTTTGTGCGATGAAATGTTAAGTATCTGTTAAATATATGCGTTTTTCTGGCAAAATAAAAATGTGTTTTGCTTGGGAAAAGTTTTTCTTCCCACACGAAGGGTCTGGCCAGAGCTGGGGGTGCTTGCAGGGTGCCCCTGTGCCCTTGGATTTGAAGAATTCTAAAATCCCTCACCCCTTCCCAAATTACCTTGGTCAAGCTCCTCATCCGGAATGTGCCATGCTGATCCCGGATGACAGGCAGAGATCTCTGGATTTCTGCAAAGATCTTGGCACAGCAGCAAAGCTCCGGGAATACTGTGTGGAGGGAAGGCAAAGTCCTGTGGGAGCAGAGAAATGAAACAGGGAAAGAAATTAGAAGAGACATTGACAGGACGTCAAATAATCAAGACGACCTTTAAAGGTCCCTTCCCACCCAAAGCTATTCCATGGTTCTATGAAATACTGAAAGGGAGCAGAGTTAGATGGGATATTGGGAAGAAATCCTTCCCTGTGAGGGTGGTGAGGCACTGGAATGGATTTCCCAGAGAAGCTGTGGCTGCCGCATCCCTGGAAGTGTCCAAGGCCAGGCTGGATGGGGCTTGGAGGCACCTGGGATAGTGGAAGGTGTCCCTGCCCATGGTAGGAGGTGGCCCTGGACAGGCTTTAATGTCCCTTCCAATCCAAATCCCTCCAGGATTCTCGGATTTTGTGGAATAACAGAGCTGGCCACAGGAGGGCAGGAGCGACCAGGGCGAGGAGCGGGCAAAGCCCAGCAAAACCCAGTTCAGAGGTAGATAAAGGACATTTCTATCTGCTGCACAATCCCCCCCGCCCCTCCAGCCTAAAACTCTCCTGCACATCCCACGGTGCACTATGAGAGCTGGAGGCACTCACTTTGTTCCAAGAGCTCACCGAATGTCCCGAGTTGGAAGGGATCCATAAGGATCAGCCAGTCCAACAATCCCACTCTGTGCCTGGGAGCATTGCCAAACTCTCCTCGAGCTCCAGCAGCCTTGGGGCTGTGGCCATTCCCTGGGGTGAACTGTTCCAGTGCCCTTCCACCCTCTGGGGGAAGGACCTCGTCCTAATCTCCAGTCTAAGCCTTCCCTGCTTGGAATGAGCACCAAGTTCTTTAATTACAAGCAGAACTTCACCCCAAACCACATCCTCTCCTCTAATGTATTGACTGTACTTCCAAGGATACCCACGGGCCCGAACAGACCTGGATCTGGATGAAAACACCCCAAATTTATGAGGGAATACAGACATCTGCTGCCATTTTAGCACCATTCTGAATCAGTGCCTTTGCACCCTTGGAAGAGGAGCTCCCTGTCCAAAGCAGGACAGGTGGACAGGCAGCCTGTATTCAGCTACTGTGGTTTCACACACAAAACCCTTCAGCAGTCTTCTCAGGTGGCAATTACCATCTCCACATCATCCAGGACTAACAGGTCAGGGAGTGCTCCTGGAGCTTCCCTGCTGATGCTCAGTGCAGGTCAAATCGCTGGAGTTCCAGTGGGTTGGTGTGTGACCAACCCAGCAGCCACAGAGCTGATCACATCCTAAATAATTTCCTCTGCTCAAACAGGGTTCGTGTGGCTCCCTCCCCAGTTTCAGCTTTTCCTGCTGCCATCCTCAGCCCCAGTCACCCGAGAGCAGTAAATATGGGAGGGGAGGGAAACACTGGAAGAGGGACAGCATCAACTTGCTCACCTGCCTTGCTGCAAATGCAGCTACATCCTGCCCAGGCAAAACCAAATTCCTCCTAAACAGGAGCAGCAGCAGCATGGTCTCCTCCGAGTGCCATGAAAGATGCTGCAGGGGCTGGATGCACCTCAGCCAAAGCCAACCTGCAGGCACAGACCCCTTCCCCACTGGCTGCTGACATCCATGAGCTTTGGGAACTGCTGCTGGGTGCATGACCAGCTGGGCTGTCCAGAGAGCCGAGCCCTTCTCAGGAAGGAGAAGTAGGAGCATGGGAGGAGTGCCACAGCTGTTCCTCCCACAGGTAACCCCATTTCCCTGGAACACAGCAGCGCTCCCATTGCAAAGGCCTTTGCCCTTCCGTCAGGTGGAAAGCAAGGGCTTCACTCTCTCTGGGTAAACACACACACTCTCCCAGAAATACAGCCCATTCTCTGCTTCCAAGCCCATGGATCACCCCTGGAAGGAAGGCTAAAGGTCTGCCCACACCTTGGTTTCACACACAGCAGGACATTGGGAAGACAACTCCTTTTTTCCCCCAGATAATCCCCAGGTCTGGTTTGGCACCTGTTCAAGGCACTTGGCAAAGTCACAGGGTGATGGTGGCTTAGCTGGGAGCACCACTGAAAATGCTGGCTGCCTTTCCTAGCAGGACACAGCTGAATTACCACCTCCAAGACTTGGTTAATTTTATAGCAGCCCGCAGGAATGCTGATGGAGGGCACAAGGGAATCCAGAGCAGTTATTGACTCTCCTGTTATTCGCAGGAAATGCTCTTCTTATTTGTAAATGAAAGCAACAATCACCCCCAGAAAACAGATGTAAGGGACATAATATTTTCACTCTTTTTCATAAAAGTTATTCCCTGTTCCAAACCATAGGTCCCGATTGGAGTTGTTTCTTTCCCTCTGTTCTGCTCAGGTGAGACCCTACCTGAAATTGCATCCAGCTCCAGGGTCCCCAGCACAGGAAGGACATCAACCTGTTGGATAGAGTCCAGAGGAGGGACACCAAGTTGATTAGAGGATGGAGCAGCTCTGCCATGAGGAAAGGCTGAGAGGATTGGGATTGTTCTGGAGAAGAGAAGGCTTTGGAGTGACCAGATTGCACCTTCCAGTTCCTGAAGGGAACCTGCAAGGAAGCTGGAGAGGGGCTTTGGACAAGGACCTGGAGTGACAGGATAAGGGGAAATGGCTTCCCACTGCCAGAGTTAGACGGGATGTTGGGAAGAAATTCCTCCCTGTGAGGGTGGTGAGGCACAGGTTGCCTAGAGAAGCTGTGGAAGTGTTCAAGGTCAGTATTATTGCACATGGGGGAAAACTGCACATGACTCCCACAGCTGTTTTACCAACCAGCGAGGCGTCAAGAGGAGATTTCTAGAGCTTTCCAGGGTTTCTGTTATTAGCTCCTTTTGGCCAGTTTATGGCATCTCTTGGGGATGTCACAGGGTACAGCACACGGCCCTGGCACCACGAGGGGCAGAGGGGAAAGCAGCGCCCTGGAGCTGGCAGAACTCGGCACTGTTATCTGCGCTGGGCGGTTCTGGACTTGCCACTCCTCTGGGCGAGGGTGAAGGGCAGCTCCCTCGCCTCCTCCCGGTATCTGCCAGGCAGAGGCAGCTCCCTCCCAAGGCAGGCACGAGTGCCACACGGAAGTCGCGGCACCACTTGCTTCACATGAGACCTCTGAGACCTCGGGCGAAGGAGCTGGGGAAGGAAACCACAGCGTGAGAGAGCCCAGGAGCCTCCAGCCCATCCTGCCCGCCAGCCCTTCCCTTAGGGATCTGCCCCGAGGGGCTCCAGGAGAGAGGGGCACCGAGGAAGGCTCTCCGCTTCACCATGCAGGTAGGAACAGAAATTGCCCTGATATTCCCAAGATGCTGCTTTTCAGCGCCTCTAAGCACCTGTGGCTTGGAGACACGGGATATACTAACCTCCAATCTCTACCACTCACCTGCTTTCAGCCTTTAAGGTACAAAATTCCTACCACGAGTGTGTGACAGGGAAAGCAGGATAAGCTGCCGGTCCCATGCACCATCCCAACGTGCAGTGGGGTCACACTGGCTCCACATGTTGGTCCCAGAGCACAGATCAGAGAAAGATGGTATGGATGGAACTTATGTAAACCTAGGAATGAGCACTGCAGAGGTGACAGCCCCAGGTGTCCCAGGGGCACCTAGAACACAACAAGGGCAGAGGGGGAGCTGTGATCTTTTTCCTTCCTAACTCGGAAGAAAATATGTGGGGTTTTTTTCCTGGGAAAAGCCAGGCAAACTCTCCAAAGTGAGGGCAGGTAGTAAAGGTATAAGTCTGCCTGTCCAAGCAAAGGCTGTCCCACTTCTCAGGAAGCCACGGGCTAAGGTGGAAATGCTCCAAAGGAAGCTGTGTAAGATTCATCCTGGAGATAAGAGCAATTTGATCATCTCAGTGTGGGTGATGGGAACCACCCAATCCCACACCAATCCATGACTGTAAAGGAAAACAAGGATGCCAGATCCTACCCAGGTCCTCATCCTGGGTTACTCACAAGGGTGATTCTGCACCCAGCCCAAAAGTGCCTGTGGCCATTTCCCAGAAGGAACACCCAGAGCAGTGAGTTACCTGGCTTGAGACAAGGACCAACGATACACCCTGGAGAGATGGAAACCCTTTTCAACATGGAAATTCCTGCTTCCCATTGTGCCAGTCACTTTTACACCTTTGCACAGCGGAACCTCCACATCCTGTTCCAACCACAGGGCAGGAAGGAGTGAAAACGAAACTGTCCTTTGCAAGAGCAAGGATAGAGCCCAAGGTTCATACAAGCACTGCAGAGCCCAGGTGGCCTTACCTGCACCTCATCCCACTGCCCTGCACAGAGCACAGCAGCCACTGTCAGACAGCATCCCTAATTTCCAGAAAAAAAAAAATTAGTTGTGAGTGTAGCAGTGATCCAAAGCCCTTGCCTTCTGAGGCTATCCCTGCCCACACATCCCTGCCTTGCCATCAGGAAGTGCAGTGGAAGGACAAGGGGGATAGCTTCAAGCTGCCAGAGGGCAGGGTTAGATGGGATATTGGGAAGAAATCCTTCCCTGTGAGGGTGCTGAGGCCCTGGAGTGGATTTCCCAGAGAAGCTGTGGCTGTCCCATCCCGGAAGTGTCCAATGCCAGGCTGGAAAGGCTTGGAGCAACCTGGGCCAGTGAAAGGTGTCCACGTCCATGGCAGAAGGTGGAACTGGACAGGCTTTAAGGTCCCTTCCATCCAATCCTCTCTGGGATTCTAGGATTCTATACACATCCCATATGGCCCCAAAAGCAAGCTGGGCACCTGCATGGTAGCCTGAGCCTCAGCAGCCACTGGGATGAATCCAACATCCCATTTGTGAGCCTACCTTGGTAACCTCTCAACCTCTTCCCAAGCAAGTGCTCAGATGCCCAAGCAGGACTGTGCCTGCTCCTTGGAGTTGGGAACCATCTGGGAATAGAAGGTGTGATGCCAGCAGGTCTTTTCACTTCGTCTTAAACTTGACTGGGGACAGCAGCAGCAGGAAAAGTGTGCCAAGGTGGCATTAGGAACATCCCAAAAGGTTCCCATACCCAAAGGACGGCTTCCCCTCCACATCCATCCACAAGGTCACAGGTGGCACTGGCAGGGAATTGCTGCAGGATGAGGCTGGATGCATGGAGGCTGAGAGAAACCAGCCAGGCAGGAATGAGCCAACACAACAGTGGAGAGCGTGCCAGGCCAGATCCATGCCAGCATCAGAGCGCTGGCAGTGGGCAGATCCCTGAGAGGCTTCCACTCCCTCTCCTGTGCCCAGAGAGGAGCTCAGACTGGGATACAGGGAACTGCTGCACCCAATCCTACCCCACAAACCTGGTTAGAGCAGATGAAAACACCAGAACCCTCCCTCTGCCTCTTGCCATAAACTGGGGTACCTTTTATCCAAGAGAAGTTCTGGCTCACCAGCACCTCTGGGGGAGAACATCCCTCTTCTCAAGCCTTCCCACTTCTCCTTCTTGTCAGCCAGTCTCCTCATGGCTCTTGTGCTTTGTCTGATCCATGTGAGTGTGCATCTGGCAGAATATTTCAGCCCTTTCCTCATCCCAGCCTCTCTGCTCTCATGGCCTCATTCTCCAGTGAAAGCTCAGGATGCAGATCTTACATCAGGGCACAGTTACACCACCATGGCTCTACTGCCAGGATTGCAGCTGGAGGAACTCGTTTGTCTGGCTGCTCTTTTAGGTCACAGTGTCTCTGGTGACACCGAGTGACAATATTCCTATCCCTGGCAGCTTCTTCCCACTGCTGTGCTGCGTCACCTTCCCTCGGGAACAGTGGCATAACTGTTTGTGGGACGCACCACAAGTCACATCAAAGGGTGGAAAAACCCCCCACAGGGGCAGCTGATGGCTTAAGCTGCAGGAGAGCAGCTGAAGGAGAGAAATTCTTCTCTGTCGGGGTGCTGAGGCCTTGGCACAGGATGCACAGGGAAGCTGAGGCTGCCCCATCCCTGGAAGTGTCCAAGACCAGATTGGAGCAACCTGGTTTAGTGGAAAGTGTCCCTGAATGGGTGTGAAGGTCCTTTCCAACACAAACCGTTTCATGATGCTTGCTTTGTGCTCCCCCAAACCTGCACCCTTGGATGTCTGAGTGTCATTAATTACCTGCAGCCAGGAAGGTGGGAGCTGCACAGCCATTCTTTCCAGAGCCACTGACACACAGGAGGGGAACAGGGAAAAGCTAGAGTTCAAGCAGTGTTTGGACAACACTCTTAGGCACATGGATGCTTGGGGTGGCCCTGTGCAGGGCCAGGAGATGGATTTAACTATCCTTGTGCGTCTCTTCCAACTTGGGATATTCTATGATTTTATGATCAGCAGCTCATCCTCCCCTCTCTGTCCCTTGGCTACAGCCTGAGGCATCCAACAAGTTTTCCAAGGACTTTTTTCACCTGCTTTCCTACAGGGTTGTGCCAGCCTCCAAGTGTCTGTGCTCCACTCTCCATTTATCAGATTTTAAAACTACCTTCTCTACCCTCCCCAAAAAGCCAACAATGCCCTATCTGACAGGAACAACTGACAGATAGAAAAGGCTGATTAAAGCCTGTAAAATCCACTGTAGCACGGAGAGAGAGGGTGAAAGGTGAACATTTCCCCAGTATGAACGTCAGGGCATCAGGTGAAAGAGCTGAGGGAGGTTTTTTCTACTGGTCCAGATCCCTCACAGCCCCAGGGCACTGTTGGGCATTATGAGTTCATGCTCCCAGGGCAGCAGTCCCTGCAGCATTCCTGAACACAAATCTCAGACCCCAAACTGGTGATCAGGAGCATGTGGGAGAAGGTTTCACACAAGCCTCCTCTTATCTTCCTCCCTGGGCATGTCTTCGAGGCTGCTGGAAGAGGAAAACACGGGATCTCCCAGGGAGCCAGCTGAAGCCTTCTCTTCACTGGTTTTCTTTTCACCAGGATGAAATTCTGCTGACTCCCCGCAGGGAATCTCCTGTGGAGGACATGGACCCCTTTTCCTCCCCGGTAAGCTCTGCTCCTTCTGCATCTGCAGCGAGTCCAGCCCAGCTCAGAGAGGGAACAAATCCCCATTTCCCTTGCTCATTCCCAGTTCCTCTCTACACAGCCACAATGAGGGTCCAAACCTTCAAGAGGCTGGACCTGGGAAGGAGACCTCTCAGCTTTCCATCCCCAATAATTCCCTGCTGGTTTTGTGGGCAGAATGAAGAGAGGTGGGACTTTGTCCTGGTGAGTGCCATCCACGAAATGGGCAGTGAGAAGGAGATTAAGAGGAAGAAGTTCCTGGATGAGCTGAACAAGAAGGGCTTCACCATCAAGGTGAGGGGCCGTGGGAGGAAAAGACAGCAGATACTTGGCCTGGCTTGTGCTCCTGCATCCCAGGAAATGGGAGAGGCCTGAACCATTGAGCTGTTCACCACATCAGAGCTGGAAAATAATCCACTTGCCCAAACAGCAGAAAAAGCCCTCAGCCCCAGGACTCACACAACCCTCAGCCATTCCAGCTCTGGCCCTTCCCTGCCTCTCTGGCTGTTTTAACAGCCCTTCTCTTCCCCTCACCAGAAAATTGAGGACACAAAGCTCTTTTATGGAGTCCGTGCCCCGCAGCACATCTTCTGGAAATACCAGTGTTTCTTGGCGAACACCAACAGCAGGCAGCAAAACTCCAGTGCCAACCAGGACATCCCAGTGACCACCAGGTGGGTGCTGAGCTGATTTCCAGCCTCTTGCACTCACTGTTCTTCACACCAGCATCTATTTTCCAGCTCGGTTCACAGCTGAGCCAGGCTTTTCATTTTCCACAGAACCTTCTTTCACCTCCCATGTACAAAGCTGATGGCTTCTCCCTGCCCACATTTCTCCCTCCCTTGCTTCCCTGGATTTTAGTGCACACCTTCTCCCTTCTCTACCCTGTTTTTTCTGAGCCACACAACACAAGTCTGTATCCCAGAGCAGCCTCTAAGCAGAGTTTCTCCTTGTTCAGGATACGGGTTGTGCACTTCATCCTGCAGAACACTGTGACATCCGACTTAGGTAAGGGAACGGGGATCCCAGGGGTGATGCTCAGCCTGGATCTGCAGGAAGAATCCTGCCCAAGAGTCCTGGGCACTGGCATCTCAGCTGCCTCGCCATCTTGGGGAGAACAGACAAGGGAGGAGCTCAGACAAGTCAATTTGCTGCTGTATCCAGAGGCTGGGAGATTTGGACTGCAGGAACCAGCAGTCCCTCCCCAAATCCCTAAGCCTAACCCTGTCCCTTCTGCTCTGCTCCCAGAGAAGCTGCATGACCTGATGAAGAAGAAGGTGTTTGAGGCAGCCTTTCCCCTGCACAAGGTGAGGCCGAGCACACAGTGCCTGGGAGGAAAATCCAGGAGAGATGGAGGAGCAGGATGAGGTGGGGGGGGGATCTGTGGGTGACTGGGGCTGCACCAAGAGCTCGCTGGGTGAAGGGCACAGCAAAGCTCCTGGCAGCTGTCTTGGAGCTGGCCAGGGCATTAAGGGTGCCCTGATGTTCCTGCATCCAACCTACTTCTCTGCTCTCCAGAACGAAGAGATAAGGCAAATACTAAAGAAGAAATGGGCTCGCTGGAGGGTTATATTTAAGGAGCAGCCAATTGAGGAGATCAGGTAACACAGGCACAGGAGGCAGATCTTTCTAACCAAGAGGTCCCACCTGAAACCTGGAGAACTCAATGCCCTTTGCCAGGATCCTGCCTTGTCCTAAAAATCATTAGTTTGAACCTGCTCTTCTCACAAGCACTGGGCTGCCTCTGCAGCTTCCAAAGCTCAGCCTGAGGGTATCCCTGTGGCTCCAAACTCCATCTGCTAATCCTGCAGCATGAAACAACCCCCATGTCTGTGAGGACGTTAATGAACCTGTTCAGTTTTCAGCCACATTCAGAAGGCAGGAGAGGTGGGAACAGAGCATCAGTGCTGCACAGCCAGCCTGAGGCTGAACTCGGGGCAGTAAAGGCAACATGGGGCTCCTACAACCACATGAAATCCCAGGAAAGAGCACAGCTCATGTTTTTGAAAACTAACTCCATGGAAAGAGGCGGGAGGGCAAAAAGAATGTGTTACTTCATAAACCTGCCAGGGGGCTCTGGTAGAAAGGGGAGATCTTAAAATAACAGTGCACCTCTGACAGCTGGCACAAAGTGAATTCCTCTGGGGTACACGGATCCCAGTCTCAGTCAGTAGGTCATTTCTTATCCATGACTCCAACCTGCTCCCCACACCATAGAAACTGAGATACTGCCGCCACGAACATTTTCTAGTGACTCTCAAAATCTGATCTCCTTTCTGGCTGCAACTCCCACCTCCCATTTCCTCCTAGGTGCTATTTTGGAGAGAAGGTGGCCTTGTACTTTGCCTGGCTGGGCTGGTACACCTACCTGCTGATTTTTGCTGCTGTGGCTGGGGTGGCAACCGTCGTAGCTGGGGCTACTGTTTTCAGTTCCAGCCAGGTGAGGTAAGGCCCTTGGGAATGCCAAATGCACGTCCCATTCAGCTCTGCAGGTGGCTCTGAGGCACCCTTGTTCCCCTTGGCTTCTCTCCTCTCTTCCAGCAAGGAGATCTGTGATGCCAACGACACCATCATGTGCCCTCTCTGTGACCAGAATTGCTCGTTCTGGCTCCTCTCCGACACCTGCACCTATGCCAAGGTAGGGAACCTCCTTTCCAGGGCAGGTTCAAGGTAAAGGAGGGGAAACACTCCCAGCTCGTGCTGCTCCTGTGCCACTAAAAAGAAACCCCACCCCAGATCAGTCTCCATCATCACCATGGAATATTTTACCAGTAACAAGCCCCAGTGTCCATCACTTTCCTGTGTTTTGCCCTTCTGTAGTGCAACAGCCCATGCACCTTACTGCCCCATCACACTCTTCCTTCATCTCTTCCAGGTAACTCACATGATTGATAATGAGGCCACGGTGGTGTTTGCCATGTTCATGGCCATCTGGGGTAGGTGTCCATGCCTGGGTGCCCAGCACATGTGGTTGGGAGAGGGAGCAGAAGGTGGAAAATGAGACACCAACATAGCTTTGCCCTTTGGGGGTGGTTTATATCTCCTTCACTTCCAGAGCCTTCAGCTCCCCTTCCAGACACAGCAAGAGACAAAACCATCCTGATGATATCTTCCAGCTCCCCAAAGTCCTTGCCTGAAGCTTGTCCTACCTGAACCTTCTGCTCAGCATAGCCTCCCCAAAGGCACCCAGCAGTTTTCTAGCAGGTGCCTATAAATGGCCACAACCACAGGAAAGAGTGGCCCCAAGACTCCTCCTTTATCTTCCCAAATCACTGCACGGCCTCTTATTTGCTGTGGGATGATGGGATCCCGTCACTGCCATAGTTACACACTCATCTGGCTTTTCCACAGCCCTTTCCTTGACCAGCCACCTCAGGAATAGCCTGGGTGTCCCACCTGTGAAACCATGGCACAGTCCTGAGTGTGTCCGTGGGCTGGGTCACACAGGGACACAATCAGGACCATCGATCCAATTAACATAAGGGGTAGCTGGAACTGGAGTTGGAGAGGTGCAGCCTTGCCAGGGTGAAGTGTAGGGCACCCATTCCACCTGAAAAGTGACTTATCCCAAATTCCCTACAGACATTAGAGCAGGCCAGTGAAAGCTCACCTGCACCATCCCTGTTCCCTCACTGCTGCCTGTCCAGGCCCCTTCCAGGTCACCAAGGTGCAGAGGGGGCTGCCTGTCCTTCATAAGCCAAGGGCAGTCCAGGCTGGTCTGCCATCAGGTTGGATGTGATGTGACTCTCTGGGAGACAAAGGGGTGGCTTTCAGAGCCATCCCTAAGTGTCACTGCGCTTTCTCCTTCCCAATCCAGCCACTGTATTCCTGGAGCTGTGGAAGAGGGAGAGAGCCACTGTGGCCACCGACTGGGACCTGTACGGGTGGGATGAGGAAGAGGTGAGGACATCATCTTTCCTGCTCGGTGCTTCCCTCTTCAGGGCAGGAGTCACCTGCACCTAGAAGAGACACATCAGAGGGGTCCCTTGCCCAGACTGAGCTCACCCATGCTCTCGGGTTGGGTGCTCACCCCTGTCCTTCTCTAGCTTATCCATTGCTTATCCCATATGTCCACTGACACAAGGGGCACAAAGCCCCTCTGGGTCCTTTCTTTCACTTTAATATAACTTTCTTTAATATATTTTTTTAAAGGAGGAGCTGGCTCTGCACCTGATCAATAATTCACAGCACGAGCCCCAGCTGTACCAGCACTCCTACTTCCGCAGCACCATCGTCCTCATCTTGGCTCTGCTGATGGTACGTGCCAGGTGACAACGGGAATGTTTGTTTTAAGGGCACATGGACTAAAGGAGCAAAGGCACAGACCAGATTTTTAGGGCAGTTCCATGCCCATCACGAGGATCCTAAAGCTTCCTCATGCTCACATCTCAGTGTGCTGATGGAAGGGGCCACCCACTCTTGGGGCACATGGGCTGAAGGCTCTGCTTTTGCAGTGAGGATCAAGGCAGTGACATGGAGGGCAGGAAGAGGCAAACCCCAATGTGCCTGTCCCCACTGTGGGTCAGTGGAGACTGGTTCAGGTGGAGACATGGAATCGTGGAATCATAGAATGTTAAGGGTTGGAAGGGACCTTATCTAGTCCCAAGCCCCGTGCTGTGGACAGGGACACCTCCCACTACCCCAGGTTGCTCAAGGCCTTGTCTCACCTGGCCTTGAACACTGCCAGGGTGTTATAAAAGAGTGGGCTAGCTGGCCACTAGTTGCAGTTTGAGTTAGAGCTTGAGAATGAGAGTCTACTGCAGTTCAGGATGGAGTCTGCTGGCTGTGCTGTGAGGAGGTAAGGGACATGGGGTCGTGCAAGGGACAGACAAGGTAAGAAGGTGTGTGAGGGACAGGCAGGGTAAGGTGGCCAGGAAAGGACAGCTTGGGGTTAGCCAGTCATGCAGAGAGAAGAGGAGTCAGAGCTGTGTGGTGCTGCCTGTAAGAAAAAGAGCCAGTGCTGTTTGAAGCTGCCTTTGAGGGAAGGAGTCAGAGTTGCCTGAAAGAAGTCCACTGAGAGAAGGCACAAAAAGTTTCTAATAAAGGAGTGGTGGTGATGCCAGTCATGTCTGTCTCGACATAATTGCAACAGGGAGGCTGTTCCAGTATCTCCCCACCCTCACAGGGAAGCATTTCTTCCTAACATCCAGTCTAAATTTCCCCTCTTTCAGTTTGTACCTGTTACTCCTTGTCCTATCACTACACTCGCCTCACGAACTTGTCAGACCCCACCGAAGGGTGCTGGTTGCCTTTGAGGCCACATCCAGGGCCCTGCTGAGGGGACATCAGGTGTGATGGAGCATGTGCCCTCGGTGGCTCCTGAGCCCTCCTCTCCCTCCCCACAGATCATGGTGCTGATTGGCATCGCCCACGCACTCGTCATCTACCGGGCGGTGGCCATGGCCCTGTTCATGCAGAGTGAAGTGAGCCTGCTGAGCAAGCACGCAGACACCATCGCCATGATGACAGGGGCCGTGCTGCACTACCTCACCATCGTCATCATGACCAAGGTGAGGAGCCACACGGGCTGCCTGACAGGATTTCTTCCATGGCCAGCGCCCCCCCACTCATAGCATCCCTCTGTCTGCAGGTCAACTGGCACGTGGCCCTCTTCCTCTGCAACCTGGGTAAGGGAAATGGGGTGTGTCCCACCTGCAGTACCCTTTTGTCCCTGAGCATAGCCAGCCTCCCATCCCCTTCCCTCCCTCCACCAGCACAAGGCAGCTCCAGACAGGGAGGCACGCAGCCCCCCAGCACACACTCACCTGTGGCCCACGTGCTGTCCCACAGCCAGCTTTGCAGGGACAGTCACCTTACAGGGCTGAGACCTAGCATGAGCAGGAAGCCACCCTAGCTTCAGGAGAGGTCATAACATGGATTTCCTCCCAGCTCTAAGGCCACTTCTTCTCCAGCTCATGGCTCTGAGGGACCTCCTTGCTTGGCTGGGAGGTGCACACTCACCTTCATCAGAGGGCTCAGGTGGAGAGCAGGGAAGGCTTCACAAGGGGCAGAGACGTCCTTTGCATCTTCAGAGCTGTGGTAGCACCCATGGGGGAGCAGGGCAAGGTCCCACTGCTCTGTGACCAAGCCCCTGGGCACTGCTCCCTTTCCTAGAGAAACCACGAACCTTCTCCCAGAGGGAGAACAACTTCACTGTGAAGATCTTCATCTTCCAGTTCTTCACAAACTTCTCCTCACTCATCTACATCGCCTTCTTCCTGGGACGGTGAGTGGAGAACACAGGGCAGCCAGGGTTTGGGATGGATGTTCCCGACTCTCCCCAGGGTGTACAGACAGCCCAGCCCCTCTGCCCTCCCCACCAGGCACAGGGAGCCCGTTTGGGACTCAGGAGGGCCATGACCCCATGGGTATCACTGTTGCTTCCTTGCTCAGGATCAATGGCCACCCAGGGCACTACGTGCGCATCGCTGGCCACTGGAGGCTGGAGGAGGTGAGGCACCCACCCTCTGACCCCACAAACAACTCCTCCTCTTCCTTTCCCAACTGCCCAGGGAGCCTCTGGGAAGCTCAGCTTTCTTCTATAGCACCTGGCAAAGGGTCCTTGGGCCCACCCACCCTACTTGTATGGCACAACCCCTGTCTTGTCCCCTCCAGTGCCACCCCAGCGGCTGCATCACCGACCTCTTCATCCAGATGGCTGTCATCATGGTGCTCAAGCAGACCATCAGCAACATCATGGAGTATCTTGTCCCGTAAGCTTCCCACACTGACACTTTCCAGAGAAGAACCCTGGTCTTTTTCCCCTTCCCAGCCCTGCTGTCCTCCACAGGCAGCCACACAAATCCCTCTCTCCCACTGCAGATGGATATCCCACCAGCTCCGGAAGAAGCAAAAGTCCCCCAGGAAGAGAAGTATGATGTTAGGGGAGGAGGAGGAGGCAGAGGACCCCTGCAAAAGGCAGTGGCTGAACAACTATGAACTCAATGAGGTCAATGTCTTCAGCTTGTTCAACGAGTACTTGGAGATAGGTACGTGGGGCAGATCCATGTGCACTCCTTGAATGGGGAGTGACGGGTGCTAGGGATCCATATACAGGCAAGGAGCCACAGCTCCACACCCAACCCCACTCTGAGAGCCCTGAGACACAAAGATCATTCCCAAAGCAGACAGCAGGCAACTGTGCTAGCCTTTGGCCCTGTCTTGGACCTTGCTTTCCTTCCAGGCATACCCCAGGGTATGCCTGTGCCTGGCTGGCTCAACTGTCCCCACAGATCCCACTCTCTGACAGCCCTGTGAGAGCTGGGCATCCCCAAGACATGCCTCTCTCACCCTTCCACCCCTGCAAACCCTCTGACCTAAGCCACAAAGCAGGACAAACCCAGGCAGAGGGGGACGTCCCCTCTATGGTGGCTTCACACCAGCGTCTGGCATCTCTCCCTCCACAGTGATCCAGTACAGCTTCACCACCATCTTCGTGGCAGCCTTTCCCCTGGCCCCGCTGCTGGCCCTCATCAACAACGTCATCGAGATCCACATGGATGCCATCAAGATGATGCGGCTGCGCCGGCGCATGGTGCCCAGGAAGGCCAAGGACATCGGTGAGAGGGGTCCTGCCAGCACCAGGCCGAGCCCCTGAGCACCCCATGGCCAGGGGACAGCACAGGGAGAGCCATGAGTCAGAGAAGGACAAGCTGCTTTAGACTCTGCCCGAGGCTGAAGGGCAGCTTGGAGGCTCCTTCCTTGACGTGGCCATTCTAAAGGTGTCCCTGAGCTGAAATGGTGGCAGTGATCTGGCAGAGGGACCTCACCGGCTGCTCCTCTCCCACAGGGATCTGGCTGCAGGTCCTAGAGGCCATCGGCATCCTGGCTGTCATTGGGAACGGGCTGGTGATCGCCATCACCTCTGACTTCATCCCTGTGCAGGTCTACAAGTACATGTACAGCCCCTGCACGAGGGAGAACCACACCAGCATGGAGTGAGTTTGGTTCTGAGACAGTCCCTGCCCGCAGCATCCCCACAGCCCTGTCCCCACAGCCCTGTCCCCTCCCGCCTCAGTGCCACCACTGTAGGAGCACGAGACAGCTGAGCTGACTCCCAAAGCAAGGCTGGGGGAAAGGGGAACATTCCCACATGGCATCAGCCCTGTAGTGGGTAAACTGACTGGAAAGGGCAGTGTGTAACGTTGGAGAGCTACAGGATTCCCAGATGCAGGCACATACAATCTCCTGCCCTCCCCCTGTTTCTCCAAGCCTTGACTGACTGACCCAGTTCACTCAAACTGAACAGAGGCCTCTGAGCCCTCCATTTCCACCAGGCTTTGTCAAAGTGGGCAGTGAGAGCCCCAGGTGGGTTCTGCTTCCCCAGAACAGGAGGTTACAATCCATGCTCAACCCAGTCCTTCCCCACAGCTGCTCCACGGGGTACATCAACAACAGCCTCTCCGTATTCCGCATCCACGACTTTGAGCCCCACACCAAGGTGTTCCCAGAATTTAATGGGGTCCAGATCAAGACGTGCAGGTAAGAGCAGCCCCCTGCCACCCCCTGCCCCTCACCATGACATCCAGGCCAGAATGGAATGGCCTTGCCTGGCAGTGACGGAGCTGTGCTGCAGGTACCGGGATTACCGGAATGCTGATGACTACACCTACACTGTCCAGTTCTGGCACATCTTCGCAGCCAGGCTCGCCTTCCTCATCCTCTTCGAGGTGAGCACCCAGGGGGAGGCAGAAGAGGGCTGGGAAAGGGGTTGTATCTGTGCCTCATGCCCGGGCTGGGACCCCCTGACTGTCTTTGCTTCCCACAGCATGTGGCTCTGTGCGTGAAGCTGATCGCAGCCTGGTACATCCCTGATGTCCCTCAGAAGGTCAAGAATCTAATTCTGAAGGAAAAACACAGCAATCTCCAAAATGAACTGAGGTGGGTGATGCTCTGGAAGGTGCCAGGGATTGACAGGTTTCAGCATCCGTCTGCTCTGGAGCCCCTTTTCCTTCAGAAAAAGATGATCTCCAAGATAAAACAAAAAGTGATTTTGCTCATGGAAGGGCTTTGCCCAGGTTTTCCGTCTAAACTTTGTTGAAAGAGAAAGGATTAAGTATTTCAGTGGGAAAGAGAACCATTGTAGCTGCCCCAGTGCTGCTGTCCCATACTGACTAAGCCATGCTCTGGGAAGGGCTCAGCCTGACCCCCATCCATGGCCACCCTGTCCCAGCTGCCACCATAATCCTGATGGGAGCAGATAGCAGGGTTCAGGAAACACCTGTCGTGCTTTGACACTGGCCAAACTCCAGGCACCCACAAAAGCTGCTCACTTACTTTCCCCTGCCACAGCTGGGCAGAGGAGAGAAAAAATTAACAAAGGGTTCATGACTTAAGGACCGAGAGAAAACGTTCCAAGGGCAAAACAGCCTCAACTTAGATGTACAAAGTGAATTTATTACTAACAAAATCAGAGGAGGATAATGAGAAGTAAAATAAGCACTTAAAAACATCTTTGCTTCCCCCAACCCTTTCCTCCTTCCCATAGACAGTGCAAGGGACAGGGCATGGGGGTTTTGGTGAGTTTGTCATCCAAGGTTCTCTTCCGCTGCTCAGGGAGAGGAGTCCTTCCCCTGCTGCACCATGGGGTCCCTCCCCACAGGAGAGAGTTCTCCATGACCCTCTCCACCATGGCTCCAATCTCACGAGCAGGAGTCCTTCTAAAACTGCTGCAACGTGAGTCCCTCTCATGGGCACACAGTCCTCCCAAAACTGCTGTGGTGTGGGTCACTCTTCACGGGGTCAGTCCTTCAAGGACAGGCTGCTCCAGCCTGGGAGCAGGGCCCCTCTCTCCACTGGATCACAGCCTCCTCCAGGCATCCATCTGCTTCAGCATGGGGCTTCTCCATGGGCTGTGCATGGATCTCTGCATCCTCCTGGATTCACATGGGCTGCAGGGGCACAGCTGCTTCACCGTGGTCACCACTACAGCCTACAGAGGAATCTCAGCTCTGGCACCTGGAGCACCTTCCTCCTCCTTCTGCACTGACCTCGGTGTTGCCATGTTGTTTCCTTCACTTCCTCTTCTCTGGCTAGCAAAAAAACCTGTGCCCCTTTTTGTTTGTATTTTCTTCTTAAATCTGTTACCACAGAGGCATTATCAACATCTCTAATTTGCCAGCAGCATGTCCATCTTTCAGAGCCATCAGGGATTGGCTCTGCCAGACATAGTGGGAACTTCCAGCAGCTTCTCACAGAAGCCACCTCTGTGCCCCGCTACTGATAAACCAGGCCATGCAAAACCAACACAACACCACACTGTCACAGCTTTCCATCTCTGCCTTCCTATTGACTGTGGGATTTCCCACAAACAGGGGCTTTCCACAAAAACAGCCTATCATTCTTTCTCCATCTGTTTTGGGGAAGAGGCCCTGTTCCTACTCAGAGTGTTTTTCCACACCTCCCAACTCAGACAGTTCCCCTCCCCAATGCCTCTCTTCTCTCTCCCCAGCATGACAGAATACTCCACAGAGGTGTAACCATCACTCACCAAGGAGAAGGAGAACATGGACTCGAGCCCCTTTCCCAGCCTGGCAGTGCCAGGGGTGCCGGATGAACCCCACGACACGGTGCCACATGTCTCATCTGGGACCGAGCTGGACTTGAGCTGGGAAGTGATGACAAGACAGTGGCTTCACAGGAGCAGGCTGCTTTCCGACTTGGGAAGGAAGGATGCTGTGGCAGAGGCGGGATGTGCCTCCTCAGCACAGGGAGTGGCTGGCACAGAGCTGTGGCGCTGGGGACAAACCCAGGGGCAGCACCCGGCTGCTGGGCTGCAGGACAGGACCTGGGTCCTTGTCACTCACTTCCTTAAGCACAGGAAACACCGCTTACCTCATTCTATAATGAGGCTTCCTCTCCAGCCCTTTTTTATTTTCTTTCTTTTTGTACTTTGGCCTCTTTTTCCCACTGGGTAACTTGAGTCCGTCTTTCACCAAACTCCTGCCCGGCATGACTCCCACACGTCTGCAGCTCCGCCCTGCTGTCTCCCTGGTGTTTCCATGGACATTGGAAAAAGGCCATTGGTTATCTTGTGTTTAGCTCTGGGCTCAGCCGAGTCCTGAGAGTTGTTCCTGGCTCAGCTGCCGTCAGCCATCGGTAAATAAACACAACACCCATGGTGGACATGCAGACTGTCACCTGCTGCCTGGTATCGCTCCTGCCTTCCTCCTCTGCCTTCCCAAATCATCCCCTAAACCCCTTCCTTGTCTTAGTGGGTGGGAGCAGGTGGGAGCTGCAGTGCCCACTCTGAGGACTGGTGGGACACCAGGATCTGGCCATGCACAGTCGGAACACAGCCTGGTTGATGTGCCAGGATAATGAAAATACCTGGGGGAAATGGGAAAAACAGCAAATCCCAAATGATAGGGTTTTCCCATCTTTTCCTTTAGAGACATCACTATTGGCTGCCCCTCCACTGGAGACAGAACGGGTTTGTCTGCAGCACGAACAGGGTGACACCCCAGGACTGGACAGGTGCCACAGCTCAGGGGGATCTGACAGGGGATCCTCCCAGAGGCAGAACTGGGGGGCAGCCCTCTCCTTTCCCACCGGTAGTGACCCCAACCTGGCTGGACACCACCCTGACACTGCCCATGTCCCATGAGGGTCCTGCCGTAGACACTTCCCAAGGCGTCACTCCTGGGGGCTGTGCCCTGGAGGTGACACACCCCAGTCAGGACTGCAGGGAAAGGCACCAGGGTTAACTCACCCTCAAAACTTTGCTCCCAAGAGCATGGAAAGCTGCTAACGATCCCATAGGGAATGGAAAGGAGTTTGCTGAGCCCTCAGGCTTGTCCTGTTTTCGCACCATTGTGACCAAAACTGCCTCTGCTCCTCCATTTAAGGTATCAATCGTGGGGATAACCCTGATGGACAAGCCAACAGCACTGGTAGTTTATATCCTAAACAATGAGCAGTCAGGGTGTTTCTCCATGGGAACAGGTTCACAAACCTACCTTTGACCTATACCTGTTTATTTATAGAGACATAGTTATTCAATATACATCTATATATATTTATATATTATTAAATATGACTATATAAAAAAATACATACACTGCACCTGTGGCCCTCTTCCCTTTTTGGCCTCAAATCACATGCTGGTTGATGCTTTTGCAGCTCGGGCTGGGTGTTTGTCCAGAGGCTGCTGGTGCTGCTGTGACCACATCCATGCCTGGGGCGTGCCGAGGCTCTAATCACCTCCATGGTAATTAGCACAGGGGATACCTGCTGACCACCAGTGGCCACGGCTGGATCCAGCTCCCCACAGCCAGCACCAGCCGGAGCAACCACCTCCAGCACCAGCTTCATCTGGCAAAAGGGCTCTAAAGGCACAGAGAGAAGGAAAGGGAGGAGAAGGAAACGGAGACCCCACGATGCCCACAGGCACGGTTGATGGCAGGTTCTTCTTACCCTGACACCTCCGTGGGCTCTTCCAGCCATGGAAAACCAGGGGGCTCCTCCTTGGCCCCCAAGCCTTGTGACACCCGCTGGGTGTGCAGCTGTCCTCTTCCTGTTTTCTCTTTTTTCCTCTCTTTTCCCCGCCCCTGAAGCTGGAGCTGTTGAATTTTTCCCCCGCAGGTTCAGGTGGAGGTGGAGCAGTGGGAGGGAGGGACAGCCAGCCCTTCCCACGGGCCTGGCGCCCGGGGATTGGGGCAGCGGGAGCGCCCGGCCGAGGGCAGGGGCTGAACGGGGAGGAGAAATAGATAAACTATTAAAACAGAAAGAAAAAAAAAAAAAGAGAAATTCCAGGCACTGATCTGGCCGGTCGGGTCGGCTCAAGAGGGAGGCGACGAGCAGGAAGCCTGCGGCTGGGGAAGCTCCAAAGGTAAATGCAGCTCTGTTCTGCTTCCCTTTCCATGCTGAAGCCACCTCAGATGAGGTCAATAGGGTTTCACCCTCACCCCATTCCCTGTGCGTTCCCATTCTGGCTCTCCTTGGCTCTCCTGCAGCTCTCCATCCCGCTTGCTCCCTCGGCACACACACCCCACAACTCCCTGGCCACGGTGCCTCCCTGCCCTCCTGGCTTTCGCCATGGCCGTGCTCCAGGGAATGCCTCGCCCAGCCATCATTCACCACCCCAAAAGGTCCACACGGTCCTCTTCCTCAAATCCGAGGTGCCCCCACGCCAGGAGACGTGGGAAATGGGAAATGCTGCCCGTTAGCCGGTGCTCCTCCCTCCCTGTCATCCAACATTGTCATTCCCTGGAGCAAAGGGCTCCGGGGGTTTTGGGGCCTCCCCACGCCCCTGGCCGGGCTGCAGTTTGTTGGAGCTTCCTTATTCCGACCATCAGAGGAAATGGCTTGGGAGTGACCCATCCAGGATCATCACGCCAGGCAGAGACAGCCCCACACTGCTCTTGTGAGTGTCTGCCACCCTTTCTCCATGTGAAATCCTGGTGGGCTGGCTCATCTCCATCCCCGGCCTCTCGTCTTCTTCCCTCCCTGGCCATGGAGAAACTCAGTTAATCCTTTAAGTATAAATCACTTCCAGCTGGTCAAGCTGAACATGTACTGGGCGTCTCTGGCGTACCTTGATCCCTGGTTTCACCCCATGCCTGGCACTAGGCTGTTCCAGAGGAAAGCACCGTGCCTGTATCCCTGCTCCAAGCCAGGCAGCACCACAGACCTCCCCTTCCCATTCCACACCAACGCACATGGGGGGGGACCAGCCCTGCTCCCACCCAAAATCAGGATGTATCCAGGAGTGCTGAAGCTCCAGAGCAAAGAGGAGCCGAGGGAGAGGCTTTCCCCCTCCTGACTCCCAGAGTTAGGCCGGGTGTTTACCATGGCAACCCTGGCACCGTGACATCCCTGAGACTCCCACCTGAGCCCCAGCACCCGCATCACCTGCATCAAGTGTGTGGGGACAGAGGAGCCCAGCCTTGCCAGGCTCTGCTCTGCTGTCTGCTCCCAGCATCTGCCTCTTCCCACGGGGCCATCGCAGCGACACCGCTGGTGATGCCAGCTGGGGGGTCCCTGTGTGCCATCCCTGTGCTCCCCGCTTGCCTGGAATGCTGTGCAACTGTGCCAATCCCTGGGCACGGCCACGGGGTAGCAACGCGCCAGGAACACCGCACCCATGAGGGAGCTCTCCAGGTGGGAGGCTGCGTTTCCATAAACAAAGCAGACCGCTGGTAATTAGCAGGTTCAAGGGCATGTCAGGCTGGAGGCAGCTCTGCAGCCCAGGCAGGGGCTTGGCAGCTGAAGGAGGTACCACTGAGACCCCCATGGTTTCCCATGGCTGAGCTCATTTCCCCACCTTAGTTTTGGATTTGGGCTGGAGGCGCATTTTTTAAATCCTGGAACCCTCAGCTGGTCATTAATC